TTATATTTCATACATCATAATAAATAAGTATTAAGATTAGTTTGAGTATAAAATATTAATATTTGTAATTGTATTTCTTTATTTTCTAGTATAAAATTAATGCTATTATATAAGAATTTTGCATGAATGTAGAATAAAATAAAACTATTAACTGTGATTCTATAAGTTATAGAGTTTTAAGAGAATTCTTGAAAAAAAATTATGATTAAAAGAGGAACTACTTCATATCCAAAAAATGCCTGAACTGATTATCTATCACTTTTGTTTCAGGTTCTGCTTATGAGCATTGACAAGTTTGAAATGAAGAAGATCTATCTGCAGCAAATAGCTATAGTTATTAATGATATATATTTTTTTGTGCTGTTATAATAATAATAATATACACACACTAAAATCATCAATTTTGATCACAAAACTCTTTATCTAAAGTTCTTTTTTTAATTTAAATTGATCTGCTCTCTATGAAGATTCTTTTTATACAATGTTTAATCAATTCTAAATTCTATTAATTTTATTTTGTAATTATTGTCAACTCTGTTTCCCTTATAAATTGACATTATGTAATTTTAGATATTGTGATCATTCATCAATTTAATTTAATTTTGTAAAATCAAAATTCTTTCCTTGATTAGAAAACTTACTGAGTACTGAATCAATTTTATGTCTCATAGAAATTCCATTCCAAGAACTTTCTCTAAATTAATTTTTTTGATAACACTACTTAGAGAGATTGTTAGAATAATTCCTCTTAAAATCTCTGATGAATTCTGGCATTTCCAATCCAGGAAAAATTAAAAACTGAATTATTTAAAATTTTTATAGTTTAAAATTTTCTTACCAAGAGTTTCGAATCCATACAAAAAAAATAAAGAAGTTTTTTTTCATCACAACAGAAAATACAGGATGACAAACTATTTAATTTTCTTGTACAAATAGAATATCTATTCAGAAGTTTTAAAAAGTTGTAAATTTCTGGGAAATTATCTCTCCGATTCCAGGTTTTTACTAGGATATTAAAGGAGCTTAATAGAATGTAAGTGTTATTGATGTAAGTCGTCAAGGAATATGACTATTCTAAACAATTAAAGTACTCCAGGAGAGAGAGTACTTCATTCAACTCAACTCCTAAATTCCAGAAGAAACAGGCTCATTTTACTTACTTTTCAGTACAGAGCAAATGGAGGAATGGTTTAATCAGGTTATTTCCTAGTATCTATTTTCTTATTTTTCCTGACCCCTGGGAAAAATAAAAAGTTAATTTTACTTATCTCATTCATCAATTATTATCTTATATACAATTTCAATAGATAGTAGAAATAATTGACTTATTTAATAAAATATATATATTATTTTTTCAGAGATTAAAAATGTATATTAGATTGAAAATGAGGTCTTATAGAAAGGGACCAATTCTAAACTTTAATTTACTTCTTTAATACTAAAATTTTTTGTTAATATTTACATTTTTATAATTAATAGCTATTTCATCAAAATTAAAATATTTATAAATAGCTTCCAAATTTATATATTATTATATTCCTCTATAAATAAATCTGTTTATATATTAAATAAATATAAAATATTTAGAAAAATAGATATGTTTATATCATTAGCAGTAAAGATGTGAAATAATAAAATTTTAAAACTTAATTTTAAGTAATGGCAATACTTTATTCCTTTAATATTTGAGTCTAGTAAAATCTTCAAACAAAATTCATTTATATAATTTTTATCCCTTTTTTATAATTTAAAATAAACTTAATATTTAAACTTATAGTCGAAATCAAATCAATAATCAGTTTAGGGTATATTGGGAGATAATAATTAAACTATTAAATCTTAATTAGTTTTAAGAAACTTATTTTATAAGTTATGTTACTTTACTATATAATAATATCAACATGATTCTACCTCTCTGGTTTTCCTAACATTTTGTATAAAACTTTTAAAATTTTAATAAAATTTTCCTAATCTTATTATATTCTAATTATTATTATTATATAAATATTAATAATTATTTTTATAAAATTTTGTTGCAGTTTATCAATAGTATAAAAGAGATATACCAATCTTGCCAACTATAGGCAATATCCAGTATATTTATAAGGGCTTTTAAAAACTAAAGTATTTCAGTTTTTCATTTCATTATATTTTTATTAATATTATTTTAATTAAGTTTGTATAAGATGAAAATAAACTAATTAAAATATTAAGAGACAAAAGATAAGTAATTTAAATTAAATCAGCAAAGTTTAATTTAAATGAACAAACACCTTAATTAAGTGCAATGTAAAATTTGATTTAAAAGAAAATCACAAAAATTAAAAATTCGATCATATTTTGCTGAAATGAGGAAAAAGAACATAGGAGAAAAGAAAAAAACAACATTTTTTGCTTTATTTGCATTCTGTAACTTTGCAACAATTGAAATTGATTGAAAATGTGCTTAAGAGATTTTACCCTTCAAATACAATAAGAAAAAATACTTGATTTTCCATAGAGAGATGAGAATGACATTGATAAATAGCAATTTTTTAGTAAATCTAATTTAAAGAAAACGACTGCTTTATATTTATCTACTTAAATTATTTTATTTATAGTCTTCAATTTGCTAATGAAGAATGCCTCTAATTGATATCAATTGTAAGCACAACATGTTTATCTTATCCTTATTCACTAACACAGACTTCATCATCTATTGATAAAACATCCTAACTATCCTTTCTCATTTTTAATAAATCAACTACTGTTTTATCTATAGAATTTATTAATTTCATATTAATTGGATTATCTAGTTTTTCGAATAATTCATTAAAGGCATATTAGGCATCAACAGCTCTCTGATAATCGCTTTTTACAGGTTTTAAAATCGAATAATAATTTTAAGTTATCTTAAACTATTTTGAATTAGGATCTAATGGAATTGTAGGTTTTTAAAGATAATCGAAAATCTTAATTTAAGGTTCGGTTAACAAGATCATTTTCAATTTATCTATTTCCTGCAATTTCTTCAAAATATATAAAATATCCATTTACTTAATTATTTTTTTAAAGGAGTATTAAATTTGAATACTTTTATAATTTTTGGAACTAAATAAAATATATAGTTTACTTAACAAAGCAATTAATGAAATAAATGTAATCAGTCCATTTCATTTTTAGCTTTTTTGAAATGCTATGAAAATATTATTTAATTGAAAATTAAATAGCTTAAGTTAATTATTGTTTAGCTTCTTCTTTTGATTAATGATGATCTAGGGAATCGATAATTTCCATTTATTTTTTCTTTATTTTTATAGATTATAATCTTTAACGTGGTATTTTGTTATTTTCAACAAATAATATTTCTTTTGTAGATTGTTATTATCTTCTTGTTACAAATTCTTATTATAGTGTTTCTGGATTATGATATCCTTTACTTTAATTTTTAATTGTCTTTTTTTATTCTTACTCAAATTCAAATAATGAATTCAAAATTCTAACATAATAGGATAAAATATTGATTGGTTTTTATAAAATAAAGGCAATAGTAAAAAATACTTACCAAAGTCCACCGATTTGACTTAAGATTATTTAAATTTTAGTGTAGTTTCTATAATATTATTATTCAATTTAATCTAATCTTATTACAACATTCATTATTAAGTCACTTTCATTTAAATCAATCATTTCTGTATGTCTTTTATATCTTAAGGTTTTTTGAACTTCGTAATTTTCATTAATAAGACCTAAATCTGTAAATACTGTTATTGGCTACATATAAAATGTTATTTCTTTAAAAATCTTACTAGATATTGTAGTGAAAATATCTTCTGCTTTTGATAAAAAAGGATAATCTTCATTTTTCACATCTATTACATATGATGACATTTAAAATGAAAAATAGTTTTATTCTAACTATTATTTAATTTCATCCCTTGATTTACATTCTTTTTATTTTTTAGTTAAACTGTTGCAAATTTTAAATTATAATAAAATAGCACTATAAATTTCAGAATCAAAGGTGCCTTCTAAATTTAACTCTTTAATTCTATTCCAATCAATACAATAATTAGTTTGTAAATCTAAATGAGAAAAATATTTTTATAATTCATCTTATCTAATAAGTTCTGGAGTGCAAGATGTTAAAGGAAGTTCTTTTTATGTCCATACATCAATTTTTTCATTATCAGTACTAATAATTAAATTCAAATTAATACATTCTAGAGGTCTTAGTTTAAATTTTGGCTTCTACAACATAGACTGATTCATCTATATAAGTATTAAAAGAAGGGTTTTAAATAGCAAAAGTTAAGGTAAAATTTTAATCATTCAATTTGAATTATTCAGGTTATGCATGATAAATCTCTGTTGACAGTGAAGTTAAATTTTTTCTTTGTTACAAATCATATAGATTTAAAATAAGCATGTATAGAAAAAAAGAAATTAATCCCAAAGTTAGGCAAGCACCAAATAAAGTTTTATGTCCCTATTCCTATTTTATTAATAGTTAAACAGGCTATGAAAAAATATCCACTTTTTTAAATATTCTCAGTGCCATTTTAAAATGGTTATTATTCATAATTATTATACTTCAAATAATTAACTTGATTAAGTTCTATATATATATATTATTAAGTTAATAAAAATTTCATTTAAATTGATTAATATTTTAAATTAAATTTGAATATCACTAAGAATAAATTTGTACTTAATTAGAAACTTTTGATTATATAAAATATTCATATGGTCTCCTTGGAACCTAGATACTCCCCTTAAAATTCATAAATTAATATTATATATCTATTATTGTTTCTCAGTTTAAATTGTTTTCCCTATCTAATTTTTGATGTTTTCAAGGATAATAAAGATTGTGAAGATGCCTTAAACAATAAAGTTAATCTGCATAATTTGATTATTTTTTCGTTAAGTAGCAAGCATCAAGGTTTAAATGGCCTAGTGACAAGACAAAGTTTAGAAACCACTAATTAATTCTCCTAAGTCAAAGCAAATAATTAAAGATGAAAAATAAATTTTATAAAACTACTCTAATCGCCTATAATGACTTTATTAGACAAATTTAAGATGATGGGTTAAAAGTTTAATAGATGGTGATAGAATTACAGAATTAAAAAAAGAGAATAGCTTGCTTCTCTATAATTTATTAATACAGCAAAAAAAAGATGAGCCTATTGTCAAAAAAGCTTTAAGTCAAACTCCACATCTGTTCTGGAAATTAAAAAAAAAAGAAAAGATAAATTTTGAAGTTTTAAAAATTAATGATTATTTTTATTTTCATCATACTTTTAGGTTGATAATTCAAATTAATGAATAACAATATCCTTTCTTGATAAAAGAATATCATATATAAGCTATTAAAACTTTTGTTTCCCTTGCAAATATTTAATCAAGTATCACAGATTAATAAGACAAAATTGGATGAATCAGTGATTATCGAAAAAAAAATAAATTTAAAAGGATAAAAAATATATTGCAAATTATATATTTGAGGAATAATTTACCTTGAAAAAAATTTCAACATTATCAAGATGTTGTTTAATAGTTTCCATCTAAAAATTTAATCATTACTGAGTTTCAATCTGCTTTTAATTAATTAGGTTAATATATTAATCGAGGTATATATTTAAAAATTAAGAGATCACTTATGCTATTAGGAAATACAATCAAAGATATATAAAAAAATGATCAGTGCTTTTCATTTGAATTTTATGATTCTTCTGAATAGTTTGCTTTGAATGTAGCGGATTCTATTTAGTTATTAGAGATAATTTTAACATATCTATAAAAATATATAAGTACTAAAACTGAAATCATTAATTATTTATTATTTTAAAATTAAATAAGAATTTAAATAATTTAGAACTTTATAAAACAAATAAATTCAAAATACAAAGATATCATTTAGAACTTGGTTTATAATATTAAATAATTCGAGAGGGATATGTTTAGAAGATGGAGGAAGAAAAAATTGATTATTTGAGATGGAAAAAAAATATAAAGAGTTTACATAGTCTTACCTTTCAAAAACCAGTTTATGTTATTAACAGAAAATTAATATTTTTTTAAATTTTGTAATTAGATCATCAGTCTCATCTAAAATAATAATAAAACAAAAAAAGATATTTAGCATAAAAAATTAGAATTTAAATGAATACTGAATTATCTAACTATATAGTGAGTAGGGTTCATTGCACCTTAATTAAATAAATTTCTCATCTTGAATTATTTGAGTTTCCTGAGTTATCTCAGGGTAGACTGGAATCTTATGGTGTTTATTATATAGTCCCATATTTTCTCTATTTTGAACTATGGTGAAAATTTGAAATATAAATGAATTTAATGAAAATAAATGAAGAAATTATTTATTATCAACCTATAAATGGTAATAGGTATGTATTAAAAATGATGAATCATAGAGAAAATAATTAATTCCCGATTAATAACTGAAAATAATGATTCAAAAATAATAATTGGTTTTGCATATCAAAAGAATCATATTATAAATTATTTCACTTATATTAGAAAGTAGATATTTTCAAATATAATTAAATTGAATTTATTTTATATACAAACACAATATCAAGAATTATGCTAAATGATAATACAACATCTTATTTTTTGTATTGCTTAAATTAAAGTTTTTAGAGCTCTGACTGTTAATCTATTAAGGAATCCCTTAATGTTTAAATTTAGAATTGAGTTTAAAATATACATTACGTAAATTATATCTTCTATTTAATTAAAACAATTTTCTACTTTATAATAAAAAAAGAATCAATGATTTATAAATTATTTTTTTCTAAATAAATGATTTGCCCTATTATTAAATAAAGATATATATAATTGAAAATATAAATTGGAACATCAAACTCTTAAAGAGAATTTAAAACTTAAAAAATAACTCTTAGAATTTATCTGATTGAATTGATGGATTAAAATAAGATGTATGATTATTTTTAATAATTTTTATTTTTGTAAATTATCAACTTTAAATAATAATACTAGTAAAAATGTCGAGTCATGAAACAACCTCAAAAATTAAATGTGTTACTAATTTTGAGATTTTATTCCTCTTTTTCCTTTTAAAGCATCTTATTTTTATTTTTTAATATATCATAATTACCTATTTAATGAAAATTCCTAATAATCCTGAAATGAGTAAATAAATTTAAGCAAAACCCAAAAGAG